TGTGTGACTGTACAGGTATGTGTGTGACTGTATGTGTGTGAGTGTGACTGTATGTGTGTGAGTGTGACTGTATGTGTGTGAGTGTGACTGTATGTGTGTGTGACTGTTCATGTTTTCCTGACATTCCCCTGTGTCTATCTGCCTGTTTGTTTGTTCACCTGTATAAAACCTGTGTGACCCTTTGTGTGTGCTGCTCGTGTCTTTCTGACATAACCTTGTGTGTATCTGCAGGTCTGTCTTTTACCCTGTTGAGGTCGTGTTTTATGTGTCTGCCCGTCTCCCGCGTTTATACCTCTGCTCAGTGCTGCCGCCCTGGCTGTCATTCCGCGCTAAGCTGTAGGGTCGTCTGCGGTATGGTGATGACTTCTGCTTGTCTTTCATCTCCTCAGTGGAGCTGGAACACAGGGGGGGGGGTACAAAAACAGGGGTGGCAGCGTGTCACACACCTTTTATTTACTAAAGATTCGCATTGTCTGAGTCAGCGCAGACAAGCCGGTCACTTTGGCTTCCATCTCACGCCTGTCACTTTGTCTCACTCCCGGCTCACCGGTCCAGCAGGCCCCCATCTCGCAAGCTGCCGCAGGTCTCTCGGGTAATGTCGGGGGCTGCGGGCCAGGGAAGGCTGGCAGGGGTGTCCGTGCTGATCCCGCTGCCCTCTTGTTCTGCATCGCGGTGGCCGTGCGTGCGTGCTGCGCCGGCAGGGTGGGCGGCGGCCTCGCGTGGCAGCGTCTCCGAGGCAACCGCGGGCGCATCCTGCGGCGCGGCAGCAGAGGCCGAAGATATGACGTCAGGGGAGCGCTCCCGCGTTGGAGACGCCTGCGAGGCCAGCAGTGGCTCCAGTGGGGGATTGGGGGCCGTCTGGAGACCAGCACAGAGATGCTGAGAATACCGGGAGAATGCGCTACATGGGCTAATGGCTCGTTAGCATGCATGATACCTGGATAGTGTTGGTGGGAAGCTGGTCGCCCAGCCCAGGGATGAGGAGCATGCTGGGGCGGGGGATGGGGGAAAGCCCCACTCCAAGAGGGACTGTACTGCTCAGGCTCAAACTGCTGGGGCTCTGTGATGGCTCCTCTACACCCCTGCATGACAGAATGTTGTGAGAACTTGAGCTAGCTTGCAATGCTGGCTTTAGCCACAGGCTAAAGGCTTGATTTAGCCATATGCTAATGGTTAACTTAGCTAATAGTTAACTTAGCCACAGACGACAAACTTACTTTAGCCTCAGACAATAGGTTTACCTTAGACACAGGCAAAATGCTTTCTTAAACCATGCATTATAAGCAAAGCTCTGAGCATCTCCTTTCTGACTGGGACGCTAAACATCGCCCACCTGACGGGGTTGTTGGTGATGGCTGTCATCAAGGTCAGATTACTGCCGCTGCCACAAGGGGAGGCTGGGATCTGAGGGACATAGAGACCAATCAGCTTCCAAGACCCATTAAACGAAAGCTGGCGAGTTCTAAGTGAATGGATGGAAATATCGTGGCATATATCGTCTACCAGCTCTTTCTGTCTATTTCACTGGTGTACATTTAGTGCTGTAAAGAACTGAGTGACATTATGCTTGGTGTGACGGAAAGGGCAGGCAGAGAAGTGCCAGGGCACAGTACTGAAGCGCTGGGGGTCATGAAGGCATCGGGGGTCATCAGCTTGGGCTTGGTATCACCAGCCGGGGACAAGAAGTCGGCAGGTGACGGCAGGGCGGGGATCCTGGCGCCCGTGTCAGAGCACAGGCCTTCTGCGCCTGCCTCCAATACGTAACCTGCAAGAGGGTGAGTCTGTGTCAGGCCTGCTAGAGGGTGAGTCTGTGTCAGGCCTGCAAGAGGGTGAGTCTGTGTCAGGCCTGCGAGAGGGTGAGTCTGTGTCAGGCCTGCGAGAGGGTGAGTCTGTGTCAGGCCTGTGAGAGGGTGAGTCTGTGTCAGGCCTGCTAGATCAGGAACCAGTGTCAGT